AAATGTGGCTACTTGTTGCAATAGTATTGGTTTGGTATATAATAGTATGGGCGATTATACGAAAGCATTTTCATTTTGCAAAAGAGCACTTGAAATCTTTGATAAAAAACTTCCACCAATTCACCCATTATTGGCTACTTCATATAATAATATTGGTTTAGTATATGGTAACATGAAAAAATATTCGGAGGCAGTTGCTTCGTATAAACGTGCAGTTGAAATTGGACAACAAGTATTACCTCCTTGTCATCCGAATCTCGAACTATATAAACAAAATCTTGAATCTATTCGAAAGAAATAAAATAAATGATCATTAAGAAATTTAATTAAAGATTATTTGCTAAAATACTGCTTATTGATATAACAGTGGCACCGTTCGATTCGTAGTTAGTTGTCATTAAGATACCAAGTAATTAGTACCGGAAAAGAGTCGATCTATCCGAATTAATGAAGAGTTTCTTTAAATGTTTTAGCGATCTTCATGAATTCGAAATTCTAGTTTTTTAGATAAAATTATACAATGAATCGTCGTCTTGAATGTGATAACTTTTCTTGTATTCTCCTCTTTGTATAATGAGAAAAACAAAATAACAGTACAATAAGACACTTGTCGCGTCAATAAGACGAATCTGCTTTCCGGAGCAGGACTTTTCCCCCGAGAAACCTTCTGGATAGAACTATTTAGATCAACTACATAATGCGTAAAAAAATTAGTTTCAAAATTGTTCTCTGCCCTTTGAATAAAACAAATCAGACCCGTTTTCAGATAGAAAAATCTATATTTATGTAGAAAATTCTCTAGGAGTTTCTTTTTCATTCATAGACAAAGTTTCGCAGATCAAATAATCGAATCGTAAGGTCGACGACAGATCCTTCGATGTTCGCATCAAATCTTACCTCAAAGTCATGTATAATCATACAAAACACCGTACGCATAATATCTCACAACACAAACTTGTACTATCATAGAAGATCGTACTTTTAAATGTTACTATATTTTCTCATTATGACTCTTGCCTCCAGTGGATATTTATTTTTTCAGAAGACACACGCCGGTGCTCTTTGGCTTGTGTGAAATTTGCTGAAATAATTCCAGATTCTCGATGCACGATTCATAGGAATCGAAAGTAGAATCTCGGATTAATTCAATACTTCGGAACACTAGAAACATAGTTTTACTAATTTTATTTGAACCTAGTATATTGGTTTAAATGAGTTCAATCTGGCAAATGATCATTTATATGCACAGTTCGATCAGCCATTGTCATCGATAAAGGAAATATTTCAGAACACATGGGACATTTTTCAATTGTTTGCCCAGAAGAAGGCCATCTAATAAATCGATGATGTACAATAAAATTTCTATATTAAAAAAAGGAACACACATCAAATATTTTGTTTCAAATATCTAAGTTTCTGGTGTCTTTTTTTTTTACTTATTAGGTGATGGTTTTTGTGGACTTCTTGGCTGTTGTTGTTGTTTTTCGATTGAATGCTTGACATCACTAGTGACACTGACATATTTTTCCACATCGAGTTTTTGAGTTATGATGCTAATATCTGGATATTTGATTGGGTCTTGTTCTTTCTTTTTTAGTTCTTCTAATTGTCGTTTCATTGTTTCAAGTTGTCTGTATGTCATATCTCCTTCTTTTAATAATTCTTTTAGTTGTTGACGCAATTTTTCTAATAATTCTAAATTGTGATTCGTCTTTTGAGTTTCTTCATGTTGATGACTTTTTACAATGTTCTCAATTTGACTTTGTACTCGATGATAAACAATGTCAATATGATGATGACAATCAGTTTTCCATTTATCAAGTTGACTGTATACATTGATTAAATATTGTGGTATAGATTTTGTTTGATTTTTATCATCATGATGAAAACGATCATATATGAAGTTAATCTCATCAACAAGTGGATGTAACTGTTCTTGAATCCATTTTTTATGTTCTAAATAATGTTTAGTACATACATCGTTTGAACAGTGATAGCAATATGTTTCAGCTTCACGTTTACATGTTTCTATCAAGCATCGTTTAGCCATTTAATGTAAACAATCAGAATAATCAAAGTGAGCACGTGTACAAACTATTAGGTGTCTTTTTTTTCTACCTTCAATTTTTATTCTCTCTTTTTTCTTTTTACAACAATGAACCAGCAAAAAACAAATGAAAAAGTAAAAAAAAAAAGAATGGAACAAAACAACACTACTCAAACATACAAGTATAAACTAAAATGAAAGTTATATGATCCACATGTGAATTTATTTATTTTTTTGTATATAATCTTTATTAATTGTTATTGTTAATAGATAAGCAAAAATGGTGACTCATATCATATTCATTTTCATTGTTGATCCTCATAGAGAATATTTTCAAGTCTAGTCTAAAACTAAAGTTATTTATATGCTCATGGTCTATTACGATCTGTGACTTTAAGATCTAGACGAACATCAAAAGTACGACGATTTCTGATAGTATAGTTGAATAAATCTTATTGATCTATACAATAATTTACCAATATGTGACAGAGTGTCTGGTAAATCACTGAGATGTGACCAGTTGAGCTTCCTGATATCAACTGAAAAAATTTTTTCTTTGTGAGTAAAAATTTAGCGCATCTTCTTCTATACAGCTTTATATTTACACAAAAAACAACGAGAAGAAGACTTTCGAGATTTCGCATTTGCTAGTCTCTAAAAAATTCAATAAGGTAAGTGATCAATTTTGTATCTCCAAGGCTTAGTGACAAAAACATGTTTTATTTATCTCGAAAATTTTAAGTATTTAATCTCAGTCCTTTCCGAATTCGCATCACTCTGTTAATTACATCTGTAGAAAACCTCACATATATATATTATTGATGTAAGAAAACGGAGATAAACTGAAAAATTGATTTTCATCTGATTACGATGCCAATACTTCGATCTAATGTGTGGTAGAGCTTCTTCAACATTCTTACTTCTCGTACTATTCTTGAGGTTTCGACTCCCTTTATTAATATGGTTATTTGCTTTACATTTATGGGGATGACTCTTTTCTTAGCGCATGCTTATGACGAATACTAACTCAAAAAATCATGTCTTGCTAAATTTCCGAAAACTTTTTTATTGTAAAGATCGCTTTCTTATATACTAGTAATATAGCATTCTAAATTGATAACTGAGAGCAGTTAACCAAGACAATAAAAAACAAAGTTGCATTCTCAAGCTATTATTGATGTTCGTAATAAGATTACTAAAAACTTAGCTATCGCAATATTTATACAAGTCTAGCGGTTGCTGATTAGAAACTTCAATCGAATTGGTTCTAAGTCTTATCTTGTTGTCTTGCAATATCCTATTTTATACATGCATGAATCATCTATCAATCTTGTGAAATCTTTAATTTTACATGTTTTTTTGTTTTCTTCGTGAAGAAAATATGTTCTTTGGAGTATTGTAAAACGAGAGTAAATGGCAATGGTTGCATTTGTTTATTTACATACGTTAATATATATAAGCAAGTTTCTTCGTCCTTGCTTCGTTTTCAGAAATTAAGCAATGTCACTGTGTAAAATAAAATACTCTGATGTTTACTTTTTACCAAGCGCAATTTGACGCAGAGAATAATAATACAACAGAAAAAGTGATGAGAAAAAAAATACGACGAAGGCAGAGCTGTATAAATAGTGAAAGAAAGAGAAAAAAAAGTGTGACCATAAAAGGTTGCTTGAAAAGCTCAAAAAAATACAATACTTTTGTAGAAACCAAAGCAATATGAAATTGTTTTTTAACAAGCCTTATTAGAAACCAAGGTACAAATTGAAATTGAGTGTTTTTTTTTTGAAATAGTAGAAAACAAAAGATGAGTTTTTACAGTTATAGATGAAGTAAAGAGCTCATTTAAGTGAGACTAAACATGAGATTTTTGTTTAAGTTTTATCAATATCTTTTCCGCTATTGCCTTTTTTTCGATTGAAAATTTTGTCGCCGAAGTATGCATTCACTCAAATATCTTTTCGATGTTTTTCAACACACTGAAGAATAAAAACACTCAGTATTTGATTTAGTGAATTTTTGATAACCACTCACTAGCTAAGAACTTTTACGAGGTCTTTTCTTCGCATCTAAGTATCAATCATCCGTAATGATAAGTGATTCTAGCATTGTTTATTTAA